TGATCCTATCCCGTTCAAGATTGTCCTCATCCAGAATGATGTTCAACATCAGGCATTCCCTTTCTTCATTTATGAGATCAATCCTCTTCCAGTCTTTGGTTAGGGCACTGTTGTACTTACCTTCCCAGTGTCTCATCCACCTGATGATGTACATCCCACATGACTTGTCATCTGGTTGTGTAACCTTCTCGAGGTTGAACCATGTAAACCTTTCCCACTTTACTGTCTTCTCTGCAAACTGTGTCTTCATGTAGTTGATTGCGCACTGGACAACCCTCTTTGCCATTGGTTTGTAGTATTTTTCAAAATCTTTGTGGCGGAGACTGTCGAGTACTTCAAATCTCTCTGCTTTGATGTTGACACAAATCATGATGTAGTGCTTGTTATCACAGTAAGGGAAGAACCACTGCAAAATAATTTTACCACAGTATATCATATGGTAAGCACTTGCCAACTAATTTTACCACTATATACCATATGGTAACCACTGCAAACTAATTTTACCACAATATACCATATGGTAACCACTTACTAGGTTACATTCTGTGAAGCTGAGGTTTTTTGCCCATTCTTTGTTGGTGATGTCCAAGTCCACTTTGTCGTAGTATTCGTCTGGAGTTAGTATAGGATTGCCACTTTCAATGTCCAGTTGGCAGTCACCCTGAAAGTTGTGGTTGTTATTATGTGTTTTATATATGTGTTGTCTAAGAACTATTGACAGAATATGGGTGGATTTACTTACTGCCAAAGATGTAACGAAGAACCACTTTTTGAATTTCCCTTTTTTTGCTTCATTCCTGTTCATTAGATCTCCATACCAGTCGATGACATCATATGTGATTTCACAACGAATGTCAATCGACTGTACTGACTCCCTTTTCAGCAAGAATGTTCCATCCTTCCTTCTAAACATTATCTCATTACTGTATAAAAGCACATCACAACAGGACAGATGGTTTACTTTAATTTATCACATTAAACAATAGGTTACCACAACAAACCATATCTTACCACATCTTACCATATGGTAATAAACTAAAACACAACAGGAGTTATGGTTTAATCCATTCTTTAACAACAAACCATAGCTTACCACATCATACCATATGGTATTAAACTAAAACAAAACAGGACTTGTGCATTACTACATTTTGTAACATTAAACCATAGATTTATATAATCTTAACATAGCTTACCATATCTTACCATATGGTATTAAACCAAAAACAAAACTGGAATTGTGGATTACTACATTTTCTATGATTAAACCATAGATTTATCTAATTTTACCATATCTTACCATATTTTACCATATGGTAACAAATTAGATGACTACAGTAAAATCATATAACAGTAGAAGTTTTAAGATGATGACTTACCTCTTGACAAATTTCTTGTTCTTGCATCTTATGTACTCCAGGATGTTGCTGAACATATCATCAGGTGTTGTTTGTGTTGGTGTTGACCATTCAACTTGTGATCTTTGTGATTGTGGAGCAACTGGATCAACAGTTGGAGTATTCAGGTCCTCCAGGTAAGCATCTATGCATTCACGCACTTCCTTGAGCTTCTCTTGGCTGTTTGTGTACAGATTTGACCATATAGCATATGACTCCGTCTGTGACTGGGTGCTTTGTGGTTGTGTTGGTGGTGGTGTTCTTCTTGCCTTCTTTTCATATACATTCAAATTCTTCACCACAATTCTTCTTTTGCGAGGCTCTCCTGGTTGATTAGTTGCCGTGGTGGTAGTCAACTTTGTTGGTGTTGTTGGTGTTTGATCTTTGAGAGGGCTGAGATCGAAGGATGGAATGTCATCTTCCCTTGTCACTTTAGGCTTCTCAGCAGCTTTGGTTGTCAATTTTGGAGTCTCTTCTCGAACAACATCATCTGACACCGTTTTCTCGCTGTCAGTTTCTGTAGTCTTTTGTGCAGCTTGCCCTGTATTCCCTTCTTCTGTTGTTTCCTTATCAACATCCATTGGATCTGCTGTTTTTGTAGCTCCTTTTTCTTCTGTTTCTTTTGCAGATGTCTGTTCTGGAACTGCTTTCGGGGTGTTCTCTTGTTGTGGTGTTCCCTGATTCAGATCTTCTTGAACAGCTGGTGGTTCTGTTGCAACTTTCCCCAGTGGATCTCCTTCTTGGATGCTTTCCTTATTCACAGCTGCTGGAGCAGAATCATCTTGCTCCTTCGGTGTAGATGCAGCAAGATCGACTGTAGATGGTTGTGAATCATCTTCTTTCTGTGTTTGCTCCTCGTTCTCCTCTTTGTTCTTGTCTATCTTTGCCTGTTTGAATATTTCATTGATTGTTTTATCCAAACTGGCATTCATTTCTTCATCATTCTCTTCTTCATCATCTTCACACTGAGATTTTTCTCCTTCTGTGGGCTGAACATATTCATCACAGCTTTCTTTCTCAAGATTCTCCTTGTGTCTGATCAGATTCTCAATTTGGCTGTTGTACTGGTCTTTGATTGCTTTCATCATTGCCTTCATTGATGCTTCAAGCAGTTTGATTGCATTCTCAGCCTGCATAATGGGAGTTTTGTAAGATACCATGGTGGTAATGTGTGTATGGTGTATGGTTAGTTACCATGGTGGTAATACATGGTATTGGCAATTATTATCACAATTCTCCATTTTTATAACATGAAACCATATCTTACCACATGGTAACAAAGTAAAACAGAACAAGAATTATGGTTTCCTCCATTTTTATAACATGAAACCATAGCTTACCACACATTACCATATGGTAACGAAGTAAAACACAACAGGACTTATGTTTTCCTTGATTTTTATAACATGAAATCATAGCTTACCACACATTGCCATATGGTAACAAACTAAAACACAACAGGACTTATGGTTTCCTCCATTTTTATAATATGAAACCATAGCTTACCACACCTTACCATATGGTAACCAACTAAAACACAGAAGGAATTACGGTTAGCATGTATTTGGACAACTGTAATATAGATAATTTGTACTTACTTGGTTGACTGTTCTGATATTCTTCAAATCAAAGTTCAGTGATGATGACTGGTCTGGAGTTTTGTTTCTTTGTTTTTTCGGTGACTGATAGACTGGCTCATTCTCCTCTTCCTCATCAGTTGCATCATCAGCCTCATCATCATTAATGTTGGCAACCTTTTCGATCTCGGTCAACTCTTTTCCATTGTAGTAGCTCTTAATGTTCTAAAAGTTTGTTTCGACATTGAGATCATCATAGTAGCTTACTATTGGTGTTCGAAGCTGGGTTGAGAATGCCATTTCGTCCAGTTTGTACATAAAGCATACCTTTTTTATGCAGATAGTTGTATTAGTTTTTTCAAAGATTATCATTTATATGTAAAATATATGAGTAACAAGGTTGAAATGGCCAAGGGAATGGAGACTTACTGTAAGGAAGTGAAGATCTGCACTGACATAGAGTTTTGGTGATTTCAATCCTTCATTCATGTGTTTGAAGAAGTATTTGCACCAGTTGTAGCTGGTGAAATGTTTCAGTTCTTCAGTCTTCAAGTACTCAAGCATGTTGAGTTCAGCCATAGGTGCTGAAGTTGGACACAGCAAGCCTCCGGTGACCAGCAGAAAGAACAATTGTAACCATCTCTTACTGTTTGGAGTTGTAGGAAGATCTTTTTCTACCTGACTTAGCTTTACCCTTGGAGTGGATGTTCCATCTACTTCGAGTAGGGTTTCTACTGCATAACCTGCTGCGTCATCCCAAGAAATCATGGGAGGTACAACTTCCCTATTCCCCATCGGCAGACCATATACTCTATGAAAGTCAATTGGTGATTTCTTCATGCGTGTCCCGTCAGGTAGCTTGAACGATTCTTTCATTGGATTGTATTTGTTCATTACGAACAGAGCAAAATGATTGTTTATCTTTGTCTGCCTGATTGATATTAAGCCTGATAGGCCTAATATCTCAAGTTGCGCTTTCCGCTCATCTGTTATTGACCTTGCAATTGCAGATATTCTTGTTGGGCTGCACCTTGTGCGAAAACTTTGTCTTGGTTTTACCATAGTGTACCTGAATGTAGAAATTAGTAATAGTATGTTAGTATGCTTTTTACCATAATATACCATATGGTACCATAATGGTTTCCTACCATACCTAATCAAACCATATATTTATCACATTTTACCATATGGTAATTACATCAAACCATGTCTTATAAGATCTTACCATATGGTAACGAAGTAAAACACAACAGGACTTATGTTTTCCTCCATTTTTACAACATGAAACCATAGCTTACCACACATTACCATAGGGTAACAAACTAAAACACAGAAGGACTTATGGTTTTTTGCTATTTTACAACATGAAACCATAGGTTACCACACATTACCATATGGTAACGAACTAAAACACAGAAGGACTTATGTTTTTTTGCTATTTTACAACATGAAACCATAGCTTACCACACATTGTCATATGGTAACGAACTAAAATACAGAAGGACTTATGGTTTTTTGCTATTTTACAACATGAAACCATAGCTTACCACACATTACCATATGGTAACAAACTAAAACACAGAAGGACTTATGGTTTTTTGCTATTTTACAACATGAAACCATAGGTTACCACACATTACCATATGGTAACAAACTAAAACACAGAAGAACTTATGATTTTTTGCTATTTTACAACATGAAACCATAGCTTACCACACATTACCATATGGTAACAAACTAAAACACAGAAGGACTTATGGTTTTTTGCTATTTTACAACATGAAACCATAGGTTACCACACATTACCATATGGTAACAAACTAAAACACAGAAGAACTTATGATTTTTTGCTATTTTACAACATGAAATTATAGCTTACTACACATTACCATATGGTAACAAACTAAAACACAGAAGGAGTTACGGTTTCTTGCCTTTTTATAACGTGCAATCATAGCTTACCACGCCATGCCATGTGGTAACGAAGCAAAACACAACAGATTCTACACCAGTTCAGCAACGCATGCTAACGATTAGGTAATGTAGTGAGTTTTACTACAATTTTCACATGAAGAGTGACTGAAATACTGTTTCTATTGTTCTATGGATGGATTTCGAAGAAAGAAGTGAGGTTTTACCTTGATATTTTGTGCGAAAACAATTTTTGAGCCTCGTTGAAGTTGGAAACCCTTCGTTTTTCAACGAAGAAGCGAGAACAGTGAATCGTTGAATGATTCTTCGAAAACCTTTGCGAAAATCGTTGAATGATTCTGTGTTTTCTGAAGTTTTTGGTGCGCGATTGGATGAAGAATGGAGAGTTAGAGAGCAGAGGGAAGTGCAACTGTCGCGTGAAAGGTGAGAGAAAGAAGGAAAGAAGGCGGGCACGGTTTAATGTCACGTCTCCTTTTCAAATTGTCAGATGGAAAGATTACTATTTTGCCCCCCGTGTAGTTACTTTTGCTTGATCTGACGGTTGAAAAGCGGATGGAATGGACGGTTGATAGGGCGGTTACTGATGGTTACTGATATATTGGTTACTGAGGGGATCCGGACCCCTTTTTGGTCTCCGAAACTGCGATTTTTCCCGCCTCCTAACTCCACAATTTCCATTCTCCATTTTGTTTACATTTTATTGCTTCGGTTTTGCCACTCGGATTCATCGGAATCAATCGAGGAACAATACTTACTTGCGACCCCAGCTCGTAAAGTTGCAGACTTCTTCTTCTTTCTATGAATTTGACCAAAATCGGCCATCATCTCTCCGCATCAATCAGAAGTGCATCGACGGGAAAGCCAACCGTAACTCTCGCAACCTTAGAGACCCTTCTGCAGCAATGCCGAAACTCGAGTCACTTCGATCAAATCCTTTCCCAAATGGTCATCACTGGCTTCCTGGGCGACACTTTCGCTGCTAGCAGGCTGCTGAAATTCTCCACTGACTCGCTCTTCGTTCCCATCGCCCACTCCCACCGCATCTTCACTCACGTTCGGGGCCCCAACGGGTTCATCTGTAACACCATGATGAGGGCTCATGTACGGAGAAATAGTCCGGAGCAGGCTCTGCTTGTTTACACATTGATGCGAGACGGTGATGTCGCGGCCGATACTTACACGTATCCGATTCTCCTGCAGTCTTGTTCACAGAGGCTAGCGGAGGTTGAAGGGAGATTGATTCATGGCCAAGTGATTAAGGTGGGTTTTGATTCTGATGTTTATGTGGGGAATACGTTGATTAATATGTATGCGGTTTGTGGGTGTTTGGGTGATGCACGCAAAGTGTTCGATGAAAGTTGTTCCTTGGACTCGGTATCGTGGAATTCGATGTTGGCAGGGTATGTATCGGCAGATAACGTGGATGAGGCGAAGTGGTTGTATGAAAGGATGCCTGAGAGGAACGTAATCGCTTCGAATTCTATGATTGTGTTGCTTGGGAGGAGTGGGCATTTGGAAGAGGCTGCTAAGGTGTTCGATGAAATGCCTGAGAGAGACTTGGTATCGTGGAGTGCGTTGGTATCTTGTTATGAGCAGAATGAGATGTACGATGAGGCGTTGAGGAAGTTTAAGGAAATGGTTGTTGATGGAGTACTGGTGGACGAGGTTGTACTGATCACTGTTCTTTCTGCTTGTACTCATTTAGTGGTAGCTATGACAGGGCAGTTGATCCATGCTTTGGCTATCAAAGCTGGGATTGAGTTATACATTAACCTTCAAAATGCCTTGATACATATGTACTCCATTTGTGGAGAATTAGTTTCTGCTGAAAAGTTGTTTAGCTCTGGCTGCACCTTGGACCTTATATCGTGGAACTCTATGATCTCCGGGTACTTGAGATGCGGGGAAGTGGAGAAGGCTAGGAGCTTATTTGATTCGATGCCACAGAGGGACACTGTGTCATGGAGTGTGCTGATATCAGGCTATGCCCAACGCGATCGGTTTGCTGATGCATTGGCATTGTTCCAGGATATGCAGCTTGAAGGGATTCAGCCTGATGAAACCGTTCTGGTGAGTGTTATCTCAGCTTGCACACACTTGTCTTCCCTCGACCAAGGTGCATGGATTCATGCATATATTAGGAAGAAGCAAATGAAAGTTAATGTCATACTAGGCACAACCCTTATTGACATGTACATGAAATTCGGTTCAGTACCGAATGCCATGGAAGTTTTCAGAGCCATGGAAGAAAAGGGGGTATCAACTTGGAATGCTCTTATTCTGGGTTTGGCGATGAATGGGTTCGTGAAGGAGTCCCTCGCCACTTTTTCGGAGATGAAGGAGTGTAGTATTGTGCCAAATGAAATAACGTTTCTAGCTGTGCTTGGTGCTTGCAGACACATGGGCTTGGTAGAGGAAGGGCGTCGCCATTTCGACGCCATGTCCCGAAAGCACGGAATAGAACCGACTATCAAACACTATGGATGCATGGTTGATCTTCTTGGACGCGCAGGTAAGCTAACAGAAGCTGAAGAACTTATTGCCAACATGCCTGTGCCTCCTGATGTTTCAACTTGGGGTGCTTTACTCGGGGCTTGTAAAAAACACGGGGACAATGTGATGGGAGAAAGAGTGGGAAGAAAATTAGTAGATCTTCAACCGGAGCATGATGGCTTTCATGTTTTATTGTCCAACATATATGCTTCAAAGGGCAGCTGGGATAATGTGCATGAGATTCGAGGGATGATGAGGCAACACGGTGTGATTAAGACACCGGGTTGTAGCATGATTGAGGTGAAGGGAACAATTCACGAATTTCTCGCAGGTGATAAGACACACCCTCAGAGCGAAGATATCGAGAAAATGCTAGACGATATGACTAAGAAACTAAAGATGGAAGGTTATGCACCAGATACACGTGAAGTTTTGCTTGACATTGATGAAGAAGATAAAGAAACCACATTGTTTAGACACAGCGAGAAGATTGCAATCGCCTTTGGGCTTCTCACCATTGACGCACCTACACCAATAAGAATCATGAAGAATTTACGGATATGCAATGATTGTCACACGGCAGCTAAGGTAATCTCTAGAGCTTATGATCGCGAAATTGTGGTGAGGGATCGACATCGGTTCCATCACTTCAAGCAGGGCTCATGCTCATGCCTGGATTATTGGTGACGGAAAGCTTCGGCCCTAGCATATAATCATATTTTTCTCGAATCTGTCATTTATGCTCATTGTGCATTTGTGCAATTGTACATGAATCATGATGTTTACTCTGCTCGCTTGAATACGTGATGGTGCCAGAGGATCTTCTATGTAGCCATATCTCCTGAATCCAATTTGGCATGTAAATCCTACTACGAGATTCGTATGTTGGACTAGAGCACCTATAAATACAGAGGCTTACATAACTTTTTGTACAAGAACTGCAACATGAGACTGGAAACGAGCTCCTGGAGTGAAGCTTCATTTTTGTCTGCTCAACTAGCGAAGCTTGATAGTTGATACTGATTCGTTGCGAATGAATATGTTCGAACTTAGGAATGGTCTTTGCTCATGATTCTGGATACTTCCTCTGCACAAATGTTTGATAACATCATATAAGTACTGGCCACATTTGGTTGTAAATCCAGCACCCTTAAGTTCCATTCTTTTTGGGTTTCGGGTATCTGGGTTTCAAACACAAGTGAATTGCAAGAAGAAGCAATGAAATGGTTACTAGTCTGTGCAGCGAGCTAGCGATCCAGTCTACATCACATCGGATTGAATAGTTTCGGTTCTAAAATTTCTAGACTCACTGGGTTTCAATTTCGTAATTTCTCTTCAAAAAGTACAGCAAATAGCATGCCGAGTGAAATCACTTTCAATATGATTTTACTCTCTGTTTGGTTCAACTTTGGACTGAATTGGACCATGCAAAATCTCTGGACGGAACAAACAATTTTGGGCTGTTAATTCAGATTGCCACATATTCGAGATCTACAATTCTGCAAGAAAGTTCAACATAATAAAAAAAGCACAATCGATAGAGATGCACTGAGTTCAAGTCCACACAACTGAAGCATTTGCCAGAAAAGCTAGTAGTGTGCTAAGAGCATAAAAATTTAAAATTCAGACCTTTGAAGGAACAACCTATTTGCCGTTAAACCATTCCTGATGTGGCCTCAAATCAGCCTGATTGAGAACATTATCTTCTCATCAGTATCTTTGAAGTAAACCATATACTTGCAGTTGATCAAAACCTTTGCAATCACTCGAACCCACCAGCCCTCGTTATAGTAAGCATCCAATTCATCCATCACCTTGAATCCATCCACAATAATGGTCTCCCGTAGACAAGGCCTTATGTGGCAAGCACGAATGTCTTCCCTGAGAAACTCGGTATCATCATCATTTGTCAGGGTTTTGTATTCAATAAGGTACTTGTCTTCAACCGAAGCTTTAATAATTGTTGCAGCAAACCAAGCGCCTTCAAAACCCTCGTCGTCAGTGGTCACCTCGACTTGCATGCCTTCAGTGAACTTCATCATTTCCTAGGGCCGACTTGAGTCTGCCTTCTGCTCAGACAACTTCTTCCCTTTTCCAACTTTTGTGGAGTTATTCTCCGGTGACTTTGCATGGCTAACAACAGAACTCTCACGTTTCGCTACTTAGCTTGGCCTAGTTTCAGTTTTCTTTTGTGACCTCAGCATGTTTATGAAGAGATTCAAAGACGTTGAGACAGTGTGAACAAGAACAAATGCTACCCCGGATCAGTCAGTTCTCTACTTTCCTCAGCCTAAGAAGCTGATTAGATCCAGGATTAAGAATTCCCCAAAATGATAATCAAGCAATGGAGCAGGAAAAGCCATTAAGATCTAAATAGCTCACCTCTTTCTCCCGCTGACGCTGCTCGAATGGTGGCTCCACTTCCCTTTAACTTACTCCCTGAGCAAACTCAAATCTTTCTCTTCAAACACAATCTGCTCTCTCGAGCTTCTGAAGAATACCATGAATTTCCCGCCAGCGTGTTCTGCAGTTATAGTCCCTTCCCGCACAGTAATGAATTTGCTTATAATGCTATCTCAGCTCCATTTCAAACCCCATTTTCAATGGCATGTATTAAGCAGTCCACTTCATCTTCATCATCTATTTCTTTCATGTGCTGAAATAGCAAACCTAGAGTTTGATATGCTCGTTCCATATGAGTCCCAACTGTATCACCCACAACAAAACTGTATACTTGATTCTTTACTTCAATGCAACTCTTCCCCGACACTTTCTTGCTCACGATCTCCTTCATCAATTTCCTCATCCTTGCAGACTCCCTCCATTCGCCTTCAGCTGCATAAATGTTCGACAGCATGACATAAGTACTGACCACATTTGGTTGTAAATCCAGCACCCTTAAGGCAGCCAACTTGGCCAGACCTGGAAGGCTATGGGTTTTACAAGCGCTAAGAAGTGCACCCCAAACAGATTCATCAGGCTTAAATGGCATACTCTGTATCAGTTCATAGGCCTCCTCAACTCTCCCGGCTCTGCCCAGCAAATCCACAACACACCCATAAATCTCTTGATTAGGCTTGATCTTGTAATGATCCATCACAGAGTTGAAGTAGTTCAGCCCCTGATGTACTAGTCCAGCATGACTACAAGAACTTAGAACTGCCATGAACACTATTTGATCAGGTTTTACATCTGCCTTCACCATCTCTTCAAATAATGCTACAGCCTCTTCCCCATATCCATGAGCACCATACCCTATCATCATAGATGTCCATGACACCAGATCCCTGACAGGCATTTCATTGAAAATTTTATGTGCCTCAGTTATGCTACCACACTTGGCGTACATGTCTATCAAGGAATTAACCAATGCCAAGTTACTGTTAAGTCCTCTGCGGATGATTCCTCCATGAACCTGCTGTCCACAACTGATGACTGCTAAGTTAGCACAGGCTGCTGTCACACTGGTGAATGTAAAGCAATTCGGAGTAAAACCTTCCAATTCCATTCGGGAGAATACCAAGAGAGACTGAATGGAATCAAACTTCTCATATCCTGATATTAAAGTATTCCATGTAATCAAGTCCTTTTGCCTCATTTCAGTGAAACACTGGTTTGCCAAAGGCAAGCAAACAAACCTACAATACATATCTAGTATGGAGTTCATGACAGGAGTGTCAGATTCAAAACCATGTTTCATAGCTGCCGCGTGCATTTGCTGGCCATAGCTCTGTGAACCAGTTGAAGCACAAGCTCTAACAGCAATTGAAAAGCTGTGAGGGTTAAGTTCCACTCCCTCCTGCGAGTCATCAGATGCAACACAATGTAAAACAGTTTTATACCAGCAACGAAACAATACTTATAAAATCAGGTTACTACTTAACAGTTGAGATACGACTCTATAACATTTGCTAGTTATCCATCTATTGTCATGACATTAAGAGCTTGTTTCATCCATACTTACATGTATCATCTGCTTGAAAACTCGGAGTGCGCTGTGGCCCCTGCCACGGTGGGTGTAACCAGTAATCAATGTAGTCCACGAAACTGCATTCTTTTCCCTAATATGCTGAAACGCCATGCAAGCATCCCTCATGCTAGTACAACAAGTAGCATACATATCCATGAGTGCATTGTCCACGTAAATGAAGCCTTCCATCCCACGCTTAACGACCAAACTATGAACCGAGCGCCCACGAGAAACATCCTTCATACCTTTACAAACCTTCAAGACGCTCGAGAAAGTGAAAGCATTGGGCACGATTTCTTTCCTCAACATCTCGCAGAAGACTCCCCAAGCCCGCGTATTCTGGCTGCGGGCAGCGTAGCCAGTCACCATGGCCGTCCAGGCAACGACGTCTCTGTCGGGCATTTCGTCGAACAGGTCGCGCGCTTCGGTAGCCAGGCCTTGGTCGAAGAAGTACTTAATGAGACTGGTGGCCAAAACGGAGGGACCCTTTGGCGCGGCGGAGAAAGGGATTGAGTTGTTGGTTTGGGACCATTGGAGGAAGTCCTCGGCGAACGTCGGGAGAGGCTGCGATTGAAGAGCGGAAAGTTGCCTTCTTGTGGAGCGCATAAGAACCAGCGAACATGATGATGGTGCCTGATGAATTGCGAAAAAGTTAATCTCCTAACATGCCATTTTGTTAGGAGATACTGATAGGGTCAGATTTTGGGCCACGTTTGTTTGGGCTTCATCCAACGGAGGAGAGTGGCGGCTGGGTGGTGGCTCACTTAAATGAGCTGGAGATGGGCTTCCGTGTAGAAGCTGGCCCAGCGTGCAGCGCAGAAGGTGAGCCGAGCAAGTGGCGTGGTGGGCCCGGCTTCAGTTTGGGCGGAATTTTGGGTTGGAGTGGAAAGAGAACGAAATTTTTGGGCCTCATGTGATATATATGTATGTTTGTTTGTGTGGATATTTATTTGTTTTCAGTCGATATTATTATGTGTTGTGTTGATATTACTTTGCATCATTGTTGAAATGAACTAGTATTCTTCATTCGCAAACCAATATCCATCATTAAATTAATATTTACCAAACCCCAAAATAACCCAACCACCCGAAACTTATTACACCAATTTAGAGTTTAAGTTTTAGGGTTTATGGTTCGATTTTCAATTTGTGAAGGATTGGAATATTGTTTCTTACATAAAATTAAACACACTAGGAAATTCAACACACTAGGAAGTCCTAACACGTAAGGCTTGCAACCTTAGTTAGGGCTGCCCGCCGAGGGCCCATGGGCCGAAGGCCTATTAAATAATAATAGTTTTATGATTTAGGGTTTGTGTTACGGTTTAATGTTAAGGGTTTAGGGTCTAGCTTAGGTTTGAATTGATATTAGTTCATGTTTTCGAAATTTTCTTGGACTTTTGGATATTCTAATAGAGCTTTTTTGGTACAGTGATTAGGGTGTTAGTGTTAGGGTTTAGGTGATAAAATATTATTATGTGATTGGGGTAGTCGATTTTTGTTTGTGGTGATAAAATATTATTATGTGATCGGAGGATATTAGTTGGCGATGTGTGGATATTTTGGTTGTGTAGCAGGATATTAGTTTGTAATCGATGGATATTAGTTAGGGTTGTTGAGGATATTTATTATGGGAGAAACAAATATTAGTCTGGGTGGTGCGGATATTTTTTATGGTAGGAATGAATATTAGTCTGGGTGATGTGGATATTTTTATATGTAGTACGGATATTGGGGCACTTTTGGTAACTATTCAGATGTTATCCTTTGTTTATTTAAGCATCTAGCATCACACACTTAGCCAACCATATTACACCAATTTACGGTTTAGCGGTTAGGATTTAGGGTTAAGGATTTAGTGTTTAGCGATTAGGGTTTAGAGTTTATGTGTAGTTGGTATTAGTCTGCGATGGTCAGATATTAATCTGTGTGTGGTGGGTATTAGTATGTGATGGACAGATATTAATATGTGTGTGGTGGGTATTAGTTTGCTACGGTCAGATAATAGTCTGGGTAGTTTGGATATTTGTTCTGTGTGGATGTTTATCTACTGATTTGTATATGATTACATCAATTTAGGGTTTAGTGTTAGGGTTTAGACTTTAGGGTTTAGAATTAGGGTTTGGAATTTATGATTTAGGATTTGACTTTGGGGTTGAGGTTTAGAGTTAAGGGTTCAATCTTTGTGTTTAGTGTCTACGATCAGGGTTTCAGGTATAGGGTTTGAGTTTTGGTTTCGGGTTTAGAAGACAATACTGTGGAAATGATTTTGAACACAATGTAGGGTGATCAATTTTAGTGTGTGGTGATAAGATATTATTATGTGATTGGAGGATATTAGTTCATGATGTGTTGATATTTTTGCTGTGTAGCCGGATATTAGTCTAAGACATCCATATATTAATCTGTGTGTGGTGGGTATTAGTCTGTATGGTGAAGATATTGATTACGGGCTGACTCGATATTTGTATTAGGCGGTGGGATATTATTCTGGGTGTTCTGGATTTTGTTTATGGTGAACGGATATTATTTTGGGTGGTTTGCATTTGTTTTTTTGTGGATGTTTATCTATGTTTGTTTGTGTTGAGATTTAGTTTAAGCAAATTCATAATAAAACAAAGTCGTTTTTCGATAGACTGCGATACAACTAGTATTTATTGTCATTCCAACTTGGCAATCCCATAATCTAAAATCTAAAAAAGTATAACTACATAAAAAAACGAAAAAGGAATAGTTCAAATGTTGTCTTGCTTGTGCAAATTCTCTGTAACACCCTACCCTATACGTTTTGCCTAATCATATTGTTCATACAATTGCAGCGGAATTAATCTCGGGTGTTACATTAATTATCAAAATTTACCTAAATAAAATTTCGACATGAATTACTCGCGTAATGGGCTAACAGTTCTTCCATATGATCCTGCAAAATAATTCATCTGAATCCATGCATTCATAGACAAACACATATACTCACAACCATATGCATTGGCTTTTCTTAGCCATAGTCACACTTTTCATACTCCACAACTGCATATCATACTTATAGATACCATAATCGTCACAACTTACACAGTTACACAACATATACACATATCATCAACTTTCCACACCTGTGGATGTCTCACACTAGATCAGAAGCTAGTATGCACATGAAAAACGTTCTCAAAACATTCTTTTACAAAAAGGTGTGGATCACTGGCCAAAATCCCGAGTAGTAGTCCAAGCACAGAATGGTTGAAGACCATACCTCATATTGCCTTCAACTCTTGCTCAGCTCCCACCTATACACCTATCTACTGCTGTTGTTGATGATCTGCTTACACATAGCATAAGCAGAGAAGAAGAATAAAAGAGGGTCAGCTCATAGCTGAGTGAGATAATCATAGCATCGTGAGTTCATAACAGAGCATACCCCTATCATACATCTAACAATCAAGCCAAAATACTAGGATCGGTCCTCAGCCATCCTCATATCCCAATAGGCAAAAGACTCAACCACTTTGACTTATGCATATGCATCTTATCATGTTTTAATCATAGGCGCTTGGCTACTCCCATGCTAATAACTCTCCCGGGAAACATACCCCACATCCCGTCGGATGTAGTCATACATACCCCAACATCCCGTCGGATGTGGTCATACATACCCCACACCACTATGGGTGTAGTCATACCCAGACACCACTCTGGGTGTGGTCATATCTCGTAAGAATTCTTCAGTCACCACCACAATTAAACCCACATCCGGCAACATATATAGAATCATCAACATAAACAAGGTCCATATCGTTTAGGGCAAGTCAATAATATCATACAGAAGCCTATAGTTCATCATATAGCAGAAAAGTCCATACACCCCTAATCATGCCATTCTAATTCACCTAGGTCAATTCTAAGCATCAATATAATTATCGTGATACGACAAACCCGGTATGCCGTGCTAATCCCTCACCAGTTCTGGTCGTTCAAACACCGGTTTAACCTTCCCATACTAAAACGTCAATTTCACGAACGAACCCCGAATTAAAATCCGAGACCGTCCTAATATTCCCTGCAGTATCCCCGTCAATATTAGTTCTGGGCTCCGGGTCAAATTCTCGATAAAAACACATCAAACCCTGGCCGGAACTAAATTCAGCGGTTTGGACCCCGGCCTAAATAATAGCCGAAATTCAGGGATTAGAACTAGAGGATTGATTACCTCGCTGCAGGAAGCTCGTATATGAAATTTGGGCTCAATCCGGCTTCCGGATACTCCGAAACCCTAATTTGGCTTATCGGGAATTCAAGAAATTCCTGAACCAAAAACTCGTTTTAAAGCTCTAAATCGATTAATCACAATGTATAGATGAATTAGGCATTACTTACGGGATTTTTGGATCACTAGGGCTCAAGAATTTGAGCTTTGGAATTTCCCCTCACGATGCCCTGTGCGCCTCTGTTTCACTGCTTCTCGCGGATGAAAATGGAAAAACGTGATGGAGAAGGAAAATGGGAAGGGGAGATTATATATGTGACCGCTTACTAATATATATATAATTAATACGTATACTTATCCGATCGATCGATAATCCGATTTTCGTCAAAATACTGTTAAAACGCTCGATTTTAAATCGCGAACTTTCTAGCGATCGAAATATGGGTTTTGCCGGAACGGGATGTTACATTCTCGATTATCTTCTTTCTCATGTCCCTCCGAGCCCCCCACGTTTCGATCATGCCACGACGAGGTTGGGATGATCCTTCTCTTACGGTCTCTTCGTTGTTGTTTTTGTTCTTGCCATTGTCCAATATCCCTGAAGCATATATAAATATTCACGTATAAATCAACTGATATCCTGACCACACAGAACTAATATAAGGTAACTATAATCCATACAATAAAGAGCAAACAAATATCCAAACATGGAGAACAAATATCCAGACATAATATTTTCAATATCTGGATATTATAGAAGTAATATCCAGATACAACGAACAAATATCCAAACATGATATAACAGATATCTCAACTGCACAGAACTAATATAAGTGAACTAGCATTCATATAAGGCAGAGAAATATCAAGACGAAGTAAATAAATATCCAGACATCACATAACTAATATCTGAACAATCAATTACAGAACAATATCCACATCATAAAAATGTAGTATCTCAAGCATGCTAATTGTTATCCACTATGAAAGGAACTAATGTTTCAGATCTACAAATCGAATCCTAGATCCCAACCACACAACTATCCAGACAATTGAAAACTGATATCCTGGCTGAACAGAACTAATATCGGAACGCACATAAAACATATCCACAAAACCCAGAAAACAATGAAACCCAGATCCAGTCAAATCCACAAAATCCACAAACCTCAGGAACTCAAACCCATATCCAATCAAATCCACAAACCCAGAAAACATATCCACAAGCATGCTAATTGTTATCCACTATGAAAGGAACTAATGTTTTGGATCTACAATTCGAATCCCAGATCTCAACCACACAACTATCCAAACAATTGAAAACTGATATCCTGCCCGAACATAACAAATATCGAAACACACACAAAACATATCCACAAAACCCAGAAAACAAAGAAACCCAGATCCAGTCAAATCCACAAACCCAGCAACCCAAACCCAGATCCAATCAAATCCACAAACCCAGAAAACATATCAACAAAATAAAAAAAAAGCAACCCAGATCTAGTCAAATCTAAGTTACAAGAAAACAAATCCATCAAACTCATCCAGAAAAAACGTAGGAAAAGGAAAACCCTGATCTAGTCGAAGCTATGAAAACGAACATGAGTATCCATGACCAAAAGGGAAAAAAAACCTCGACTACCTCGGTTAATGAAGTTGTTCTTTCGTCAACGGCCGCCGAGATCTCCGA